CGCAGCTCATCCCCGGCTCGGAGGTGCGGGTCACGCTGGACCACATCATCGAGGACGCGCTCGTCGTGTCGTTCCGCCTCGGGGAGAAGCTCTTCTCCGGAGTCCTCATGGACCTGTCGAAAAGGTACCGCGGGCCCCCCGACAGCACGCCGTCCGCTCCGCCGCCAGGGAGAGCGCCAACCCCGGCGGCTCCCGCCCCGCCCTCGGGTCCCGCGCGCCGCCGTGCGCGAGGGGCGCGCTCCGCGTGGGGCAGACGCGCGCGCGGCCCCGGAGGGCGGGCCCGGCCCCAGGTGTGCGGCGGGGGACGCGCGCGGGGGCAGATGGCTGGCGCACCCCGCCTCCTCGTCCCCGGCCCCCTCTGCGACCCTGGCTTGCGCACTGGGGCAGATGGGTTAATGCAAAACGCAGATGGATTCCCCCAACCAACCGGGTGCCGGGCGGGGGCTGGGGGAGGAGGGGGAGAAGTGCGGCTGAGGCTCTGGTCTGTCCTCAAATCAACCTTTAACTTGAGTGGGGCGGAAGAGAGGGGTGTGTGCTTTGGGCTTCCGAAGAGGTTACCTGCCCGTGTTTAAAAGACGAAACCCTTGGGATACTGAACCCTTTTTACTCTCACTGATGGAAGGAGTTCCGGGGGGGTGGGGTGACTCTTCAATCAGGAGGCGCATTTTGCTAATTTTACTTACAGCTTAAAAAAATACTGAAGACGGGACGAGACCCTTCTTGTATTTTGAACCTTTATTATCAAAGTGGTGGGTTTACAAAGAAATACTCGCATAACTTTTCTTTGGCAGTGCTAGGGACTGAATCTTAAATGACTTCTGAAACTATAGTTACAGTTAAATTTAGGTTTTGACTGGAAGGTTGAGTTCACCTGCAAACCTGTCTTAACCAGTATATTTTCACCTTTTGACTTAAAATGTTCTGGGTACTGCTTTAAACAGGTAAAGAAGATAAATCTGTTTTCAGTTTAGAGTTAACCTTTTTATTCTCTTCTTTTGCAGATAGGAAGTGCAGAGACTCCCATTCATGGCTTTCCATTCTGTTTCCTGCAACAGCACACACTCTGGTGTCTCACCTGTTTGGAAGTGGTTTATTAATGTGTTTGATATGTTTATGTCTTTATTTTAATTTCTATTTTTCCTGGAGATGAGATTGAACCCAGAGCCTCCTGCATGCTAGGGAGGCATCCTAACACTGAGCTGTACATCCCCAGCCTTCTCTAGATTTTCTTTCTTTTATTTTTGAGGCACGGTCTGGGTTAAGTTGTCCATGCTTGCCTTGAACTTGCAATGGTCCTGACTCAGCCTCTCCCAAGTACTGATATGACAGGCATTTCTCATCATAACTACAATCCTGGCTTATGCTTGTAAATTCCTTGACCTCCAGTCAAGTCACAAGAATTGTTTTCGTTTCCATTTGGGAATAGCTATTTAAAATTTATATTGGATTATGGTGGTTGGCGCCTGTTCAGTCACTCTGCATACTTTGTTAGTCCTCAAGGTTTTTGTTTTGTTTGCTTTTATTTTTTATTTACTATTTACTTTTTTAGTGATTTTGGGTTAATGTTTTCATTAGTACTTTAGTTTTCATTGTTAGAAAGCTGAATTAAGACAGTTTTCTACTGGTGTTTTTAGTAGCAAGAGAGACACTCTAATGTGTATGCTATTGAATCAAACAGAAGAAGAGGCCAGTGATTGTGTGAGAATCTGAATTTCAAATCTGCAAAAGAAAGGTGCAAAAAGGTAAGTTTTTGGAAATAGAGTGGATCGTGTTTTCTCATGTGGAGGTGCTCATTCTGTCAGTTTTAGAGAATTGTAATTTTGAGTTTTTGTCTATTTTGCTAACAGCACTTCTTGTAAAATAATAATTTCTTTTTGTTGGAGGAGCTTTTGAAATGATATGGAGTCTCTTAGTCTTGATGTTTGAAACTCTGTTTGGAACTCTTGGGCTCAAGCTGATCCTCTTGTCTCAGCCTGCCTCCTGCCCAGCACCCACGGTAGCTGGGACATCTGTGTCCTGCCTCTGAGCTATATACAGCCCTGGGAGATACTTTTTATCCACTGTACTCAGGCCATAGCTACACTGTATTCAACAGATACTTTGAAATAATTTGTATCTTATTTGAATTGGCCACTGAATTGTACTTCCTGGTAAAAAATTACAGGAGCCCTTAGTGGCAGACATTGTATCACATAAGTTAGAGTGTATCATTTATATAGAAGGCAATTGAGGATTATTTAATTTGGCCAGTTAGTTTATGGTGTCAAAGTAAAGATTTAAATGTAAGTTAAACGTTAGATGGGGTAGCAAGTTTTCTTTTAAGCAGGAAGTAAAGAGTTGTGTATTTTTCAGATTCAGTGCTTTTCTTGATTTCTATTGACTGTGCAGGGTGCTGTAAAGGGCTCTGGGTCTTGAAGCGAAGCAGAATAGTCCCTTAATAGTCGGGCTATTCTAGAGAGTCTTTATGTTCTTTCTTTGAATATAGGAAGGCACATATAATACTTTCAGAAGTTGGGAGTTCCTGCCTGCTCATTCAGTGAGATAATTGGGAGAATGTGTCAGTGTATTTGTGCTTTTGTTTAGTCTTCAAGAGGGTTAGTTACTGCATCTATTTAGTTATTTAGTGGGGTTTTTTGGTGAGGAGGATTGAAACAAAGGCCTCAAACATGGTTTCTACTCCTATACTTCTTTTGAGGGTAATTTGTTTGGCCAATTCACATGAGTACAAATAAGCATAATGCATATAAACTGTATGTCTCAGTTTACTCAAAAAGACAGACCGTGCTGTTTACCGACTGTACTTTTGATGAAGACTTATTATCCTGTGGCTTCATAGCTTTCTAGTTTTCAAAATTGGCACTTTTCAGAATATGCCCTTTCTTTTATGCTTGGATTCACATTTATTTAGGAGCTTAAGATATCTTCTACTTGAACAGGGACTTAAACTCTGGACCCTCAGATTAAAAGTAGAGGCTCTACCAATTGAGCTTGAGCTATCCAGGCTCTTTTTTTAATATACCCTTCTTTAAGCAGCACACGAGTTGTGTCACCCCTTACTTCTTAGAGATCTTGGCCATAAATGATACAACTAGCCTAAAATGAGGGTAGTTTGAGTATCTAGCTAAAAGCATTTTGTTTGTCATAGCATAAAAAATGCTGAGTACCTTTAAGTGAAGCATGAAGTTCATTTACTCTTGCTGTTTTATACCCAGTCCTCTTAGCTAGATTAGATTACTTGCTGTTTGCATTGTCTAATCAATTAGCCTTACACATTAATTTTATTTTTTTTCTTCTTTCTCCTCAATCTCAGCTTTTGTAATTTAGGCATATAATAAGCATTCTTTAATAAACTATCTGATGATTTTAAACAGCAATAAGGAATTCCAGAGTTCAAGGCCAACGTGGTCTACTTAAGACCCTGCTTCAAAAACAAGCAAACAGGCCAGGTGCTGGGCCGCACACCTGTAGTCACTGCGCTCTGGGATTACATCAGTAATTACGTCAATAAGTTACTGATATACTTTTTGGTGGGCTTTTATCATGAAATATGAGTCTGTATGTGTACACTGCCCTGCTTCAACATTTATCACAGTGTAGTCAAATATATTAAGTCATGTAACTGTCTGCATTGGGTACTTTCTGAATAACGTCCCAGGCATTTACACAATCATTTCCTTTTAGCTCTCTGGAAAGGTAAGGGCTTTAAAAAATAACCATACTACCATTATCATTCCCAAAATTAGAGGAATTCCAGTTAATTAGACTTTCAAGGCCCATATCTGAAAGAACATACCCTATATGAATTTTGTTTGTTTGCTTGGTTTTTAACTAATTAATTAAATAGTTTTTTTGAGGTAGGGTTTCTCTGTGTAACCTTCGTTGTCCTGGACTCATTTTATAGAACAGGCTGGCCTCAAACTCGGGAGATCTTCCCACCTCTGCCTCCCAGAGTGCTGGGATTACAGGTGTGGGCCACAGCACATGGCCTGTTTATTTTTGAAGCAGAGTCTTAAGTAGGCCAAGTTGGCCATGAACTCTGGATCTTCTTGCTTCTACTTACCTAGTGCTGGAATTACAGACATGAGCCACCACATCTGTTTTTTTCTTTGTCTTTCTTTCTTTTTTCTTTTTTAAAGACAAGGTCTTTTGTGTAGCTGTGGCTGGCCTTGTACTAGCTATGTAGCCCAGATTGGACTCCTTGATTCCTGTTAGGATTATAGGTGTGTGCCATGTCCAGATGGATTATTTTATTTAGTATTGTATTAAAAATAGTTTTAAAGCTACTTTGAAATTCTGAAAAATCTTTCCAAGTCCCTGAATTAAGGAATCACAAAGTAATCATTAATACTTAAAAAGCTTGTATATTTTAATTTTATGGCACAAGTATCATATTCTGGGTATGGGGGGCTGCTTATTAAAAATTGAAATGATTTCTTTTGAAAACTTCAGCATTTGCTGACTAGGATCTTAAATTTGTAGAACATTTACTTGATCTTGAAGGAAATGTAAACCAAGACAATGATTTTTTTTCTTTACAGAGACCATGAACGTATGGTGCAATAGCCCTACTTTTGGTGGGAAAAATATACAGCCATTCTGGTGGAGCAGTGAGTAGTGGTGCCAGTAGTTTATATTAAAGCTTTGAGGTTGAGGACATAGACCCTTGAGTAGTTTGTGTGATGGTTGGGTTGAACTGCATATTCCTAAAAACGTTTGAATTTGTTGGTGATTATATCTTGAAAGGCGTTAGAGGGCTTGTATCGTAAGGGACGTAGCAGAGACAAGTGCCAGTCACTTTCTGTTCCAGATAACTTACTTATAGGGTGCTTGCTACTGTCCTATACTGAATAAGTTCCTCCCTTGTATGTTCTCTAATCTGACTGTTTTGGTGGCCAGGCATAATTAGTTGTTGGTAAATAAAAATCCAGTTTGAATCTGAGAACAAAGAATTGTGATAACGTTTTACTTTGAGACAGGGTTTTACTGTGTAGCCCAGGCTGCCCAGACTGCTTTGCAGTGTCTCTACCTGAGCTTCCTTGAGACCTGGGATTACAGGGACGTTCTTGTCTAAGTTCCCAAATAAATGTTATTAATTTTATTAGATATATTTTTATATATGATCTC